CCCAGGGAGGTGGTGGAGTCCCCATCCCTGGAGGTATTCAAAAAACGTGTAAATGTAACACTTTCGGATATGGTTTACTAGGCATGGTGTTGTTGGGTAGATGGTTGGACATGATGATCTTAGGGGTCTTTTCCAACCTATGATTCTATGATTCTGTAATGTGAAAGGAACAGACCAGAGGTCTGCTCTGAAGACTCAAAGCTAGGAAGATAATACTGCCTTACTGTATTCTGGTCATAAAGCCTACAATAATGTCTACTACTGCTGGTTGTAGGGCCTGTGGTGAGAATATGACTGCACTGTGTGTCTCAACTACCTTGCTTCTCTTCGCGCTGGAAAGGAGAGAAGGGAAATCACATACAGACCATAGACTAACACAATAGTTCAGGATCATCTATAGTGTCAGACAAGATTGCTCAGGAATTTTTCCAATTGAATCTCAAAAACCTCCAAGGGTGGAATTTGCACAGCCTCTCTGGGAAACCTGTTCTACTACTCGACAGTCCTCATGAGGAAAATACCTTTCCTCATAACCAGTTTCACCCTCTCTTATTTCAGCATATGCCTGCTGTCTGTCATCCTGATACTACATGCTACTCTGAAAAAGCTTAGCTCTGTCCTGATGACCTTCCTGAAGCACTAAGAGGCAGCTGTTATTTGTCCCCAGAGGTGTCCCTTCTCCAGTCTGAACAAACACAGCTCCCCCAGCTTCTCCTCACTGGCAAGCGCTCCAGCCCCAACCATCCCAGCAGCACTCCCTCAAACTTGCTCCACTTTGATATCTTTCCTGTAGTGGAGGACCAAAACTGAACACAGTATCTATCTGCAGTCTGATGAGTGCCAAATGTTGGGGAATAATGTTTCCCTGGATCTCCTGTTCCTGCTCTTGCTCATACAGCCCGGGATGCTGTTGATCTCTCTGCTGCCAGGACACACAGTCGGCTCATGCCCAGCTTGCTGTCCATCAGGAGCCACAAGAATTTTTCCACAGAGCTACTGCCGGGCTGTCAGTCTACTGCCCAACCTGCGGAGTTGAAGGGGGCTACTCAGTGCTGGAGGCAGGACTTAATGTTTTTCCTGGTTGAACATCATAGGGCTCCTGTTGGCTCTTTCCTTCAGCCCGTCCAAGATGGCAGCCCTGCCCTCGTGTGTATGGACTCACACCCGCAACGAAGTGTCACCTTCAGACTTGAGGAGAGTGTGCTCCTCACCTCTTCC